ATTTTCTCTGTGAATAAGGGGGAATGCTGTGGGTGCAGTGAGATGGGACCAGAGGTGTGGGAGAAATTTCCCTGAATCCGTTGGTTTGTCAGTCAGTCAATCACCTGGGATATTGCAACTGAGATTACCTGAAATATTATTCTATAAACTACAATGGGGAAATTTGCTTCCTGGATATAACTCTCTCCACCCCCTTCTCTATAATACAAGAAAATAGAACCTCTAAAGACGTTTATTTCACTAAACATTTGTAGAAACCCAGCGGGGAGGATGAGGCTCGACAGATGATGTACCTCATCTTTCATCAGCATCTTTTACTGTTAATGCTACACGTGGCTATGTACTATATAAATAATATTCGACCTTATTATATCAATACTATTACATTTAATTGTATTATTTTTTATTATTCTACACGTAAGGTTTCGTCGACACTTGGGCTATCATTTGTGTTCATCCAGAGAGAGTTAGAAGTGTTCTCTCATCCCGTTAGTAATCGAGACAGCTACAGGTAAAATCTCTCGTGTATTAGTACCTAATTATGGGTCCATTATTAGTCCCTAACATTTGTATAAAGTTTACTATAGAAGTTTATCAACACATATGTCACTGACTTCTCAAAAATATAATTCATGAAACATCAAAGGAATAGCGAAGATGTAAAGAACGACAGAAAAGGTTGAAATTATATATACAGAAATGTTTCTTACACACTCAATCATTGACTGATAAATACGCAGTAAATAGTAAAAGCCAAATTAATATATACAATTAATCAAGGGAACTGGTTAAAATAAGTGTATTCTGCAAAAAAAGGCAGATAACTTTAAAACTAATTTACATTTTATATTGAAGAATATTTCTATATACTGCACTTATTCATTAACGAGTTACCTCATTTGTCAAAAACTTGCGGGTATAGTACACAAGACCTGTGATCTGTGAAGGAGGGAAACACCTGTGATCTGTGAAGGAGGGAAGCACATGTGTGTATGCGTGTGTGTGTATGCGTGTGTGTGTGTGTATGCGTGTGTGTGTGTGTGTGTGTGACGGTAAAAGTGTGGTAGGTGGGTGCCTCAATTCTGCCGTGATCCATAACTTAAGGTAGCAAGTTGTGATCACCTGATAAGCAATCCTCCAGTTTAATTTCCTGATGGTTAAACCTACTATTGCTACCTTAGAATGGTTAGTTTTAAGGTGAAATACGCTGTATTACTTGTGTTTTACTGTCTACTCATTGTTGAATTATGCACAGATGCTATTAGAGTCGAACACACTGATAAAAAATACGGCAATACTTGTAAGCATAAATCCAGATATGCAGGATAAATAAATAAAAATTATTTATCACACGTTCTTTATTTAAACTTTATTCCTTGTGGCTTCTAACCTAACCTAATCTAGTCGTTAGAGTTGGGATCCATTAAGATTGGGGCTCGTTTAACCTGACAGTATTGAGTTTTATAACAGCAATTCAAGGATAAATGAAGCAAGCGTCGTTGATAAGTCTAATCACCTCAGTCTCAAACAATAAAGGTATTTGAAGCAGGACTTTTCATCTGCTTGTAGTTAAGTGATAAAAGAAACTCTGTGGCAGGAAGTTCCCCAGAAGGTCAAATTTCCAGTATTATTGAACTCCTGAAGAATCCGAAGTGTTGAGTACGTAACAAGCCGACTTAATTAGCAGTGCTCCAATTTCCATCAAAAGACGGAGTCAAAATAGTACGAAAAAAAAATAATGAAACAAGCGCTTTCGTGTAATTCAAGGGTGAGTACAGACTAAGGAGAAATACTTGACAAGGCTAATATATACAGTAGAGGAGATTGAGATCAAGTCCCTAGGGGACAGCAGGTGTCCGTAGTCAGGACAAGGGTAAGGTGCTCCATTGTTTTCATTTTCCCTGTGTGATTTTATCAAGATTTATCTTATCCACATTTTCACCGTAGCGTTAGAAATAAAATAGATTCGCTGAGAGCGGTTGTATGTACCGAGAATGTAGACGTCATAGCAATCACCGAAACTTGGATGAATCTGGCGAGCAAAATTTTTTTATCAGAGTACCACATAGAAGGGTACAACCTTTTTCACAAGGACAGGGAAGGTAGGAAAGGGGGAGGGGTCGCACTCTTCCGAAGGATACATTAAAATGTTGTATTAATAATTCAATAAAGGGTGAAATAGGCACCGAGTCTGTATGGGTAGAAATCACGGAAGGAAGAGAAAAACTAATTATGGGAGTGATTTACAGGCCCCCCAAGTCTTGGCAAAGAAGCAGCTCAGCCCATATGGCAGGAAATGAGGAGGGCAGCAAAATATAACAACCTATGCATTATGGGGGATTTCTACTTCAGAAATATTGACTGGGACAACATTGTAGGTGACTATGAATCTGAAGACGCAGTACAGGACAATTTTTTGAAACAACTAATTACAGAACCTACTAGAGGTGACAATATATTAGACCTAGTATTAACAAATAAAGAAAATATTATCAGAGATATCACAGTAGGGGAAGAACTAGGTAACAGTGATCACAGAGAAATCAGGTTCACCCTAAATTGGGAAACGAAAAACAATGACAATATGGTCAGAGTCCCAACTTTCGGTTGGCGGATTTTCAGGGGTTAAGAAGGTACCTAGGTGAGGTCACCTGGGAACAGGCACGTCAGTCCCCAGTAGGAAGGGGTGAGGTCATAGATGACACAACAATTGATCATGACTATAACATATTCACTAGTATAATACATAAAGCACAAGAACAAAATATACCATACAGAAAAATTAGGTCAAATAAGAATGAGCCAAGGTGGATGACCAGAAAACTTAAACATGACATAGGAATAAAGAAAGGAATATATAAGAAATTAAAGGGAGGGGAGAGCAGCTCAGAAATAGGTAAAATGAACTATCTAAGAATGTTAAGAAAAATGTAAGGAAAGCAAAGAGAGACTATGAAATCAAAATAGCAAGAGAATCCAAGGCGAATCCCAAGGGATTTTTCCAGGAATATAGGACAAAGTCAAGGACAAAGGTCAAGGACAAAGTTGGGCCTTTAAAGTCAGGGAGGGGAGAAGTGATAAATGGCAGTGGAGAAATAAGCAAAGCATTGAACAGCTACTTCTTATCAGTTTTCACAGAATAAATTTGCGATGAAATTCCAGAGGTGGAACTGATATTTAAGGGAAAGGAAGATGAGAAATTAAAGAATATCACTATCAGAAAAGAGAATGTTCTTAAGAAGATAAATAAACTAAAGAAAACAAAATCCCCAGGGCCGGATGAAATTTTCCCTGAGTCTTGAAAGAGTGTAGGGAACAGATTAGCGGACCCCTCGTAAACTTATTTACAAAATCATTAGATCCGGGAGTTGTGCCAGACTTGAGAAACAGGCAAATGTAGTACCCATATTCAAAAAGGGAGACAGAGCATCAGAGCCAAATTACCGGCCGATCAGTTTGACGTCAGAAGTGGGGGAAATTTCTTGAATCAATTATAGCAGATAGCATCCAATCGCATCTAGAGAAAAGCAAATTAATCTACAACTCTCAACATGGGTTTACAAAGGGAAAATCTTGTCTAACAAACCTGCTGACGTTTTTTAGGAAAGTCTTCGAGGTAGTAGATAATGACGAAAATTACAATGTTATTTACTTAGACTTTAGCGAAGCATTTGACAGAGTACCGCATCAGAGGCTTCTGAGAAAAATTAAGGCTCATGGCATCGAGGGGAAAGTTGTTAATTGGATAAAATCATGGCTCACCGATAGAAAGCAGAGGGTCAGCGTAGATGGTGTTAAATCTGAGTGGGGCCATGTAAGCAGTGGGGTTCCTCAGGAGTAAGTGCTAGGCTCACTCTTGTTCATAATCTACATAAACGATCTAGATACTGGGATCAGCAGTGACATAAGCAAGTTTGTGGATGACACCAAAATAGGGCGGCAGATTAATTTCAGAGCAGGATGCAAATGCATTACAGGAGGATCTAGATAAAGTGCAGGGGTGGTCTGAAAAGTGGCAAATGAAATTCAACACCAGCAAGTGCAGCGTACTTAATAATGGAAGAACAAATACTGATAATGTATACAGCCTAACAACATTAACCTAGAGAAGTCGACGTGTGAAAGAGACCTAGGGGTACTTGTAAGCCCGGACCTACGGCCTAGAAAACAGTGCGTTAATGTTCGAAATAAGGCCAACAGAGTATTGGGTTTTATATCTAGAAGTGTAAGTAACAAGAGTGCAGAGGTCTTATTACAACTATATCTTGCGCTAGTCAGGCCGCACCTCGATTATGCGGTTCAGTTCTGGTGCCCCTATTATAGAATGGATATAAATTCAATAGAGTTGGTGCAGCGAAGAATGACAAAAATGATTCCGGGACTTAGAAACCTTCCAGATCAGGATAGGTTAAAGAAACTTAACTTGCATTCCCTAGAAAGACAAAGAGTGCGGGGAGATATGATAGAAGTATTTAAGTAGGTGAAAGGAATCAATAAAGGGGATATAGATAAAGTTCTTATAATATCCGAGCAGGATAGGACTCGGAGCAACGGATTCAAGTTGGACAAGTTTAGGTTTAGGAGGGAGATAGGAAGAAACTGGTTCACAAATAGGGTGGTGGACGAGTGGAACAAGCTTAGCAACTTTGTAGTAAGTGCTGGAACGCTGGAAAGTTTCAAAAGGAGGCTAAATAGATTCATGGATGATAGAGAGTGGTAGTAACTCTCGACAGGAGCTGCCATGCACAGGCCAACCGGTCTATTGCAGACTCCTTATTTTCTTATGTTCTTATATATATATATATATATATATATATATATATATATATATATATATATATATATATATATATATATATATATATATATATATATATATATATATATATATGTATATATATATATATGTATAAACTCCTGACTGGTCATAGACAGTAATGTAAAAGTGTCTTTAAAAGCATCAGTATTACACTGTGTGGCATCGTATGTTGTGTGTAAGACGTCACATCCTGGCCTGACTGTATTTAAGGGTCTTGCGTCCGAGCGAGCGTCAGTCTGTGCCAGACAAACGCTGCTAGTACATCCTTGTGCCTGTTGGTAATCTCTGCAAATATGAGGTGAGTCGCACACATATTTTATATATACTGTATATATATACTGTATATATATATATATATATATATATATATATATATATATATATATATATATATATATATATATATATATATTGGCTGGTCATAGACAAACATGTAGTATTGCAATCATGAAAATGTATATAAATGAATTCTTCATCGAAAACCTAACCTTAACAAATTTACTTTACGCGTAAATATGCCGACTAAGCCTTAAAAAAACAATTGTTTTGCCGGATAGGGTAAATTATTACCAATATTACTCTCATCACTTTACTATTGTTGTTACCTTCTTCAACAACATTTTGATCGTAAAGGTTTTATTATATAAGCCTTAGGTAGAACCTCGTTCCCACAGGGTTTCGGTGTCACTCATCTTGGCTGCTATAGTGGGCCTCGGAGCCTCTGCTACTGTGCTGAGGAAGCTGCACAACGTGGTGGAGAGGTAAAATATATCCTTCCTCTCCATAGTTTAGACAAGCTTTCTCTCTTTCATCAAGATGAAATAGACCTTTCCTCTCCTCTGTTTTCTTTCTTTAAGCATATATATATATATATATATATATATATATATATATATATATATATATATAAGTATCACTGGAGGAGTGCGTGATCCAGATATATGCAGATAACCACAAGGAAAGAAGAAACACGAAGTTCCTAAGCGCTTTCGTGTAATTCACATCTTCAGGGGTGAGTACAGACTCACGAAAGCATTTTAGAACTTCGTGTTTTCTTTTTCTCCTTAAATATATATATATATATATATATATATATATATATATATATATATATATATATATATATATATATATATATATATATATATATTATATATATATATATACATGGTAAAATAACTCAATATTCGTATTATTATTTAAACATTATGAAGAGCATAAATTTACTTATTGTCCCACCAGACACATCGACCTTGGCTTAAATGCTGACGATAGCTCAGGGAGTGATTCTAGCAGTAACTCTGTTGAAGTGGTTAAGCGGTAAGTGCCTCAGTCTCTCAACATTTCCAAAAATAAAAATATTAAACACCTTGTTTATTTAAGGTTAAAAATTGTATAAATTGTGTGTATGTGTTTGTGTGAGTGTGTGTGTGTGTAAATTGGAGTGTGTTTGTGTATGTGTACACTTGTGTGTACATGTGTGTGTGTGTGTACATGTGTGTGTATGTGTGTGTGTCCATGTATGCCTTTGTGTGTGTGTGTGTATGTGTGTGTGTATATGAGTGTGTCCATAGATGTGTGTGTGTGTGTGTAGAAGTATGTGTGTGTACTAGTGTGTGTGCGCGTGTGTGTGTGTGTGACTGTAGTCGGGTTTCGTTGTTGTGTAAACATTGTCATATATTAGGTTATTTTCATTCACTCGTCGATGTATCTTTCATTTATCAATTTGCTGTTATAAATACAGTGAGTAATAGACACCAAGAGTTCCTCCCTGGCTGTTTTATCATCACTTGATACAAAACAAAACTCATGTACGCAATATGTTTAGGAATCAGGTCAGAAATAGGAGGTAATTTTTCTGGCAAGTATTACATATGCACCAACAAAATTAACACGAGTTAACCTAAATTAACCTAACCTAACCTAAACAAACCTAACAAAACGTAAACTAACTTGACCTAAACTAAATTAGACTTAACCTAACGAATCATAAGTAACTTAACATAAATCTAACTTAAACTGAACTAACCTAAACTAACGAAACCAAACTAAACAAATCTAACGTAACCTAAACTATCCTAACCCTCGAGTAATCTATCTATCTATCTATCTATCTATCTATCTATCTATCTATCTAATATATATATATATATATATATATAAGTAACTCACTGTAGGAGCGCGTGATCCAGATATATGCTGATAACCATAAGGAGAGAAGTAAACACGAAGTTCCTAAGCGCTATCCTGCAATTCACATCTTCAGGGGTGAGTACAGACTCACGAAAGCACTTGGGAACTTCGTGTTTTCTTCTTTCCTTGTGGTTGTCAGCATATATATATATATAATTATATATATATATATATATATATATATATATATATATATATATATATATATATATATATATATATATATATATATATATATACATGGTAAAATAACTCAATATTCGTATTATTATTTAAACATTATGAAGAGCATAAATTTACTTATTGTCCCACCAGACACATCGACCTTGGCTTAAATGCTGACGATAGCTCAGGGAGTGATTCTAACAGTAACTCTGGTGAAGTGGTTAAGCGGTAAGTGCCTCAGTCTCTCAACATTTCCAAAAATAAAAATATTAAACACCTTGTTTATTTAAGGCTATAAATTGTATAAATTGTGTGTATGTGTTTGTGTGTGTGTGTGTGTGCGTGTAAATTGGAGTGTGTTTGTGTATTTGTACACTTGTGTGTACATGTGTGTGTGTACATTTGTGTGTGTGTGTGTGTGTGTGTATGTGTGTGTGAAGAAGTATGTGGGAGTACGAGTGTGTGTGCGCGTGTGTGTGTGTGACTGTGGTCGGGTTTCGTTGTTGTGTAAACATTGTCATTTATTAGGTTATTTTCATTCACTCGTCGATGTATCTTTCATTTATCAATTTGCTGCTATAAATACAGTGAGTAATAGACACCAAGAGTTCCTCCCTGGCTGTTTTATCATCACTTGATACAAAACAAAAAACTCATGTACGCAATATGTTTAGGAATCAGGTCAGAAATAGGAGGTAATTTTTCTGGCAAGTATTACATATGCACCAACAAAATTAACATGAGTTAACCTAAATTAATCTAACCTAACCTAAACAAACCTAACAAAACGTAAACTAACTTGACCTAAACTAAATTAGACTTAACCTAACGAATCATAAGTAACTTAACATAAATCTAACTTAAACTGAACTAACCTAAACTAACGAAACCAAACTAAACAAATCTAACGTAACCTAAACTAACCTAACCCTCGAGTAATCTATCTATCTATCTATCTATCTATCTATCTATCTATCTAATATATATATATATATATATATATATAAGTAACTCACTGTAGGAGCGCGTGATCCAGATATATGCTGATAACCATAAGGAGAGAAGTAAACACGAAGTTCCTAAGCGCTATCCTGCAATTCACATCTTCAGGGGTGAGTACAGACTCACGAAAGCACTTGGGAACTTCGTGTTTTCTTCTTTCCTTGTGGTTGTCAGCATATATATATATATATACATGGTAAAATAACTCAATATTCGTATTATTATTTAAACATTATGAAGAGCATAAATTTACTTATTGTCCCACCAGACACATCGACCTTGGCTTAAATGCTGACGATAGCTCAGGGAGTGATTCTAATAGTAACTCTGTTGAAGTGGTTAAGCGGTAAGTGCCTCAGTCTCTCAACATTTCCAAAAATAAAAATATTAAACACCTTGTTTATTTAAGGCTATAAATTGTATAAATTGTGTGTATGTGTTTGTGTGTGTGTGTGTGCGTGTAAATTGGAGTGTGTTTGTGTATTTGTACACTTGTGTGTACATGTGTGTGTGTGTGTGTATGTGTGTGTGTAGAAGTATGTGGGAGTACGAGTGTGTGTGCGCGTGTGTGTGTGTGACTGTGGTCGGGTTTCGTTGTTGTGTAAACATTGTCATTTATTAGGTTATTTTCATTCACTCGTCGATGTATCTTTCATTTATCAATTTGCTGTTATAAATACAGTGATTAATAGACACCAAGAGTTCCTCCCTGGCTGTTTTATCATCACTTGATACAAAACAAAAAACTCATGTACGCAATATGTTTAGGAATCAGGTCAGAAATAGGAGGTAATTTTTCTGGCAAGTATTACATATGCACCAACAAAATTAACATGAGTTAACCTAAATTAATCTAACCTAACCTAAACAAACCTAACAAAACGTAAACTAACTTGACCTAAACTAAATTAGACTTAACCTAACGAATCATAAGTAACTTAACATAAATCTAACTTAAACTGAACTAACCTAAACTAACGAAACCAAACTAAACAAATCTAACGTAACCTAAACTAACCTAACCCTCGAGTAATCTATCTATCTATCTATCTATCTATCTATCTATCTATCTAATATATATATATATATATATATATATATATATATATATATATATATATATATATATATATATATATATATATATATAAATAACTCACACTGTAGGGGCAGTCAGATATGCTGATAACCATAAGGAGAGAAATAAACACAGGATTCTAAGCGCTATCACCCACAATTCACATCTTCAGGGGTGAGTACAGACTCACAGCACTTGGGAACTTCGTGTTTTCTTCTTTCCTTGTGGCTGTCAACATATATATATATATATATATATATATATATATATATATATATATATATATATATATATATATATATATATATACATGGTAAAATAACTCAATATTCGTATTATTATTTAAACATTATGAAGAGCATAAATTTACTTATTGTCCCACCAGACACATCGACCTTGGCTTAAATGCTGACGATAGCTCAGGGAGTGATTCTAACAGTAACTCTGGTGAAGTGGTTAAGCGGTAAGTGCCTCAGTCTCTCAACATTTCCAAAAATAAAAATATTAAACACCTTGTTTATTTAAGGCTATAAATTGTATAAATTGTGTGTATGTGTTTGTGTGTGTGTGCGATATAGAATTGGAGTGTGTTTGTGTATTTTGTACACTTGTGTGTGTACATGTGTGTGTGTGTACACATTTGTGTGTGTGTGTGTGTGTGTGTGTGTGTATGTGTGTGTGTGAAGTATGTGGGGAGTGCAAGTGTGTGTGCGCGCGTGTGTGTGACTGTGGTCAGGTTTTTCATTGTTGTGTAAGCAGTCATTTATTGGGTTATTTTCATTCACTCGTCGATGTATCTTTCATTTATCAATTTGTATTACTCGTACAGTGAGTAATAGACACCAAGAGTTCCTCCTGGCTGTTTTATCATCACTTGATACAAAACAAAAAACTCATGTACACCAATATGTTTAGGAATCAGGTCAGAAATAGGGAGGTAATTTTTTCTGGCAAAGTATTACATATGCACCAACAAAAATTAACACAGGTTAACCT